CCATTTGACCCTGGCAATAACCCTGGAAGGTTGGTGTTATTATTATCGTCATATGAAGATGAGGAAACTGAGGCTGAGACAAGGAAAGTGAATTGCCCAGGGTCACACTAGTGAAGCTATGTGAAAGTATGAGGAAAGATTTGAATTCAGGTCTTCCTAACTCCAAATTCAACATTCTATCCACTCTGCCACCAGCTCACCAAGTATCTAAGTAACAGGGCACTTCACAACTCTTAAAAAAGATTTAGTCAAGGTCCCAAATGTGGTGACACTGGGAATGTTCCCGTATAAGTGAGATACTAGAGCAAGGAAAAAAAAAGCTAGAATGACAACCTAACCCTTTAATATGACTAAGCTGACCAGACTCCTAGTCATACCCTCTATATAAATATTTATGGAATATTACATTGTAAGGAGAGCAACTATGAAAGTCTTAAGGATTCTGGTCAATGCAATGACCAACCAGGACTCCAGAAGACCAATCATGAAGGACACTCCCCACCTGTTAGGCAGAGAAGTGGTTAGCCAGAGGTACAAGATGAGACACATTTTCAGACACATCCAATGCATGAGTTTGTTTCACATGTTATACTTACTGTATATCGAGGAGGGCTTTTGTTGTGGGGGAGGGGAGAGGCAGTGATGGCAATATGGAAAAAGGAAAGAAAAAAAGAGCTCAGTGAATTGTTAAAAAAAAATAAACACGAGAACAAAGGATGTACAGAAGGAGACACAGATAATCAGTGCAGTGTTGGGACTACAATGTCAAATTTGAAATATACCAGTACAGACAAACTCCCAAACCCTCCAAATCAAGCTATATTTATGATTTCATATTCATACCCACATTCAAGCTATAATTCATGGTTTCATATTCAGTGGAGTAGATAGAATGCTGGACCTGGAGTCAGGAAGACCTGATTTAAAATCCTGCCTTAGACATTCATTAATTGTATGACCTGGGGGCAGTCATTTGACCCCCTTGGCTCAGTTTCCTCATCTATCAAATGGGGATGATGATAACATTTCCCTTCCAGGGTTGTTGTGAGGAATCAGCTGAGGTGATATTTATAAAGTTCTGCAGACTTTAAAGTTCTATATTAATGCTAGCTATTATTACATTATTCTTTGTGTAGGGAAAAATCCATTTGTCGATTGTTGAGTTTATAATAATAATCAAAAGTGAATCTGTAAAAGTCACAATTAATATGTGGTATGTACAGGACTAAAATCCAATGCCTTTCAATTTTCTGTGCTACTTTCTGGATTTGTTAAGACCTACAGTAGACTGTGTCCTCAGCACCACATAAAAAGTTTCTATAACTTCTTTCCAGATCTTTTCATATCTATTCATGTCTTAGTTATTATGAATTATACAATATTGAACTTCTACAACCAGGAAATGCATAATGCTCATATTATGGATATAGATTTCCATTTTTAGTAAAAAATTTTATTAACTCAGCCTCATTTCTTTTAGCTCTGACCTAATTTGTGTCAAGTCCTGGGCCTGTGGGTCCAAGCTAATTAATATACCTGATGAATTAGACATGCTGGTAAAAAAAATCCTTAATAGGAGCATTGCTAACAGGGTCTTATTTTGTGTGCTGACATGACACAATTGTATGACCATGATTCTTTTCTATTAGAACAAATTTAATGATTGCATTTATCCTTTTGAAGTTCTCTGTATATTTTAGTCCCAAATTTATGGTAGAAGAAATAGACAAATAGATTCAATTTCACCACCAGCTCTATAGAAGCCCTACTCCCTGATTCACAATCTCTTCAGAATTTCCAAGCAGAAATTATTTTCACTTTGCATTACTGCTTAATGTCAGAGTATCCCTAATGCAGCAGCCAGAACATTATAATGAAAAATTAATTGCATAAATTATTGATTTCTGGATTGTTAAGATATATTTAAAGTTGAAAGTATAGAATCAATACCAATATATTTCTTAAAGCTTGCAACGCCAGACTTCCCCATTAGAGTCGTACTGACAGATTGTTATTAGGCTGTGCAAAGAATAGTTTTATGTCTTTTGTGAGATATCTCAGTTTCAACAAACCCCCTAATCCACTTCGTGGTTTTGATGCCTTGATAGATATATCATACTGAAGTTACTTGGAAAGCTTTCCTTTTGGGAGATCTGCATACATTTAGAAAGGAATTAAACACACACACACACACACACACACACACACACACACACACACACACACACACACACACACACACACACAC